CCGCCATATTCTGGCAGCTCAACACAATAACACCACCCCTTTTTTTTCTTTTTTTTGGGGGGGGGGGGGCTCAATGAGTAGTGGAGGGACTTAGTCCCTAGCAACAGAAAATGATGAGGCTTCACTGTATTTTCCATTTTACCAGTCAGCGGAACAATGTAAAATGATCTTACCTAAAACTTTCAATGTGATCCTAGCAAGAAAAAAGCTACTAGATGAAACTGAGAAGTATCCATTGTCTTTTTCTGTCACGTGTTGCAGAGAAAGACTTCCAAAGGTAACCTTGAAACGTGGATCCATTGCCTGAAAAATTTGACAACACAACTGAAATTTCGGATGAGTTAATGTTTGTATTGTATGTATTTTTTTTTTTAAATGCCAATGTGATTGTCATCATTATTATAACACGAAGACATGCACACCTTGCCATTTTCAAACACTAGCCTCTTGCCTTCACCATTCTTCGGGGAGAAGTAAAGCTTCCCACTGAATCCAGGTGGTGAATAATTATAGGGAAAGCGAAAAGTTCCACCATAGCACACTTCATGTTGTGCAGCAAATGACCCTGGAATTGGACACAAAGAACAGAGGAGAGAAAAGTTGGGAATGCACTATTAACATACTGCACTGTAGGAGTGTGCAATATAGACGGTACTGTATATTCAATGTAGGGTTTGAATTTGCCCAAAGGCATGTTCATTACATCTTACTATGCATGACAGTAACACAGCCTAGTAACCTTTATCAGTCCCACATTGGAGAGATTTGCATTGTTGCAGCAGTGATAGTGGATACATGAAATAAAAAAAACATCACAACAAAGAAGAGATTTATTAAATTATGAATTAGTAAAATATTTTTACCCCTAATTTTCAATTGGTATATACCATCTACCATTACTATGAAGGGATTGAATTTGTACATGATATGAATTTTGGGCCGTATCGGCCAGCCCTACTGCACTCTATGCTGGCCATTTGTGTCCACCTTAGTTCACTTGGCGAACTCTTAATAGTAACGTTTATTGCCTTCCACTGCCATGGGACATTTTTTTCCACACTAGAAGGACGGCTTTGCCATACTAGTTTGACTGTAGTGCATCTTACTCGTGGAGGTTTTCGTGACTATTAGTCACTACTTTGACATTTCGCTGCAGATGTTAGCAAGGGTCATGGAAGTTGACACACATGATTTGCCTTTGCGGGCCACATAAAATGACGTAGCGGGCCGGATCTGGCCCCCGGGCCTTCTGTTTGACATTTTTAGGGCTACTAGCAAGGTCCAACAGGCTACTATTGCATGACATGTTTGCTAGTTGGGCCTAATAGTGTCACGAGGGCAGCATAGCAATTTAGGACTAAAGTTTAATTGCACAAGTACTGGTTATTACTAACATGGATATCAAAGATATTAAATAAATGCTCCAACGGCTTTCCTTAACAGCGTTCATGTGTTATTGCTTGTGCGCAACTGAGCTTTTACTCACCGCAGAGGAAGCATGGAAGCAAAAGGAATGCGAGCAACATGTCCTGTACAAAAACAACACGGCGATATACGCATTGTTGATTATACACAGAAGGAAACTTCACGCTTCGACATACATAATTTTTTAGGAACTTAAACTTACTCGGGTATTGATGGGCGATTTCCCCTCTGAACAAGCCGAGTTACTGTAATCACAAGGACACATACAAACTGGGCGAGGCTTTTCTCTGGTCGGGGCGTCACTGCTGCGTCTAATGTGCGCACGCTGTTGGTTGCCACTCACTGGACAACATTAGCAAGTAGGGAAGTTCGCTTTATTTAGAAGTTCTTACAAAGCGCTTCACTTATAGAATGTGTACCGTTTTTTACACATATAAAGTAACTATAAATACAACATCTTACGTTAAAAACATACATTTTGCAAATCAAAACAAATTTAAAAATACAAAAAAAATTTCAAAAGACTATACTGTTCTGTACAATAATCGCGCTGAGACGTGAAATACGCGTGTAAGTGATGACCATTATAAGTGCATGTTAAAGCAGCCTTTAAAAAAGTCCACAGAAGACGCCATTTTTAGTGACAACAATATAGGGACAATGGACTGCAATGCATATTTCATTTTTTAAAACAAATGTGAAAAAAAATCATTGGGTACACTTGTACAATGTCATGCAACACGAGGCCAACAAATCTAATCATAAAAAAATGCTTTCTTGACAAAAAATGATAATAAGGAATGATAAGAACAAGAGTAAGAATAACAAATCAGAGGTGTCAAACTTATCTCACAGTGCAGGTTATAATGCTGAGGCCACATAAATTTTAAAGTATAACATAATGCACTTTATAATGCTATGATTGGAATAGAATGCTAAATATTTAACCAGAAGCTGAGTTGCACCGTGTTTGTTTACGGACTAGGCATGTGGTTACAGCACTTTGTACACTTCTTGTCAAAGTAGGTTCTGTATAGGTACCATGACCGTTACCCCATCATGTTGCGGAATTGTCCCTACATTTGGTAATGATATTTCATTTTTCATTTCATTTCAAATACGTTATTGTCCTCAAAGGGAATTTGTCATGAGCACTCAACTGGTTCTGCAGTTTGTAGTTGGCAGCAGGATTTTTTCCTCCCATTTGCCCGTCATTTTCATGGAAAACATGTAATGAATGTTTGTCAGGGTTTTTGAAGATTTTTTGCTGACTTGATTAAAAATAATAATAATAATATATATATTTTTAAAAGGGTTTCAAATAAATTTGTTTTTTTTTGTAATTACGGTAATCAAAGAGCCACTCAGAGTGTAGTTGGGGACAGCACGCAGCCCACGAGCTACCAGTTGACCATCCTTGATCTGTGAATAATCAATTAATAAATTGATTGTCAATTATGATCATTTGAATCAGGTATGTTGAAAGAGGGAACCATCTAAAACTAGCTGAACAGGGGCTCTTGAGCACCGGACTTGGGCACCCCTGGTCTAAATGCAGGCAGAACAATTAAAAGCTCTTAGACTGGATGGCAGAAGGTAAGTGTGCACTTGTTGCCGTTCCAACAACAAAATAGTTTTGTATTCAATTAAAGTTGCACAGATTTCACCCCTAGTTCATCTGTGAGTAAAATGAGACAACCTCGTTATTTTTTTCCAGAAGCATGTAAATAATTGTTTTTGTAATTTTAATTGGTGGTGTGCCACGTGGTTTCTCTAATGTAAAATATGTCCCTGTTTGCTCAAAAACGTTTTGAAAAAACTATTCGAGTTAATTGAAATATATGTACATATGTAAGAATGGAATGCATGTTACGATGACTGTTGTATTGTAATCTATAGTAGTTAAAAAAGTCATAAAGTGGTAAAAGGAATTAAACACAAGTATGACACGCCTCAACTTAGATTTTCCATCACGCTGTGACAGTTTTTTTAATAATTTCTTAAAACCCATTTCATTTCCTTTTTGTATCGAAAGAGGTGAGAGCGTTTTATTTGTTTATTTATCGGGGCATTCTGTGTTTTATGGCTTTTACACTGAATTATATTTTATTGTTGTCGGTAACGTGACATAATTGTATATTCTCTGTGTTTTGAACGAATTGTACAGCACTTTGGGCCACCTTGTAAATTTTCTTGATATATATCAGTGTGGACGGGTTGGATAGTGAATTATAATATATATCTAATTTACCACGAAACGTTTGTGCGATATATCAGTACAGTAGTCACATGCAAAATAACATCACTTACGTATGGATCAATTCAATCTAAAGTTCATATTAAATGTCTGGTCTTTGGACATGTAACGCTGACGCTTGTTTTTGTCTGTTCTGACTGTATCATGCTGACTTCCACCGCCCCCGGCCCCCTTCATTTACAATCAATCTCAATCTTGGCGCAAAGCCCTGCAGTGGGAGACTGCACCGTTAGGAAGGGTTTGCTCAAAGAGCGTATCTGTTTCCTGGAGCTAACCAATGTGATACTTCGTGCGACGCAGCTGACGTAAAACCAGTTGAGAATACCGCCGACATATCGCCATAAATAATTGGGGGAAGCCACTGCGCTTGCGTGTTGCGGATCAACGTTTATACCCATTCACCCCCATTCATGTAAAACATTCCTAAATATCTTCCCGTGGAGTTGTTTCTCGCGTATCCTACAGGTGGGTCCGAGCTGTTTTGGGTTGAAAGTGTGATGACGTTTAGATAATCAATAAGTGATCATCTGGATCGTTGGACATGGCTTGTCTGAGCAGGGCGTCATCGGGCCGTCACGTCACTGAGGTCTGCCTTAGATTTGTTTGCCGCACCTTGCTCGCTGTATGCAGGTGTGCATGGACGATAACGGTGCCGCTTCGAGATTGCAACACACTACGCGATGGATGCAAACTTGTTCGTTTCCTTTGCATTGTTGTCACCTGTGTGGAAAGATGAGACCCTTTTTTTGTCCATACAGAAGATGTGCCCCTCCGCCCTGCTCGCAGTCCTTTACAGCCTTCCTTTTGCTGTGGGTGAGTTGTCTTTCAATCATTTTGACAGCACTTGCAGTCTAACAAAGGATATAAGAGAATGTGGCTGTCAGATTTTACACCTGTTAACATGTGTTCACAGCAATGTCAAGGTCAATGAGAGTTTTTATTAAGGTGCCTTAGACCAGTGATGATCAATCTCTGTGCCGTGATACCATTAGTGTGCCGTGAGGAATCCTCAAATTATTCGCTTTCACCTTATTGGTCAGAAATGTATGATTTATTTACTACAAATAATCTATCATTTCTACATGTCAGCAACGTATAGTGGCGGGCATAATAAATAAATGCCCTTCCATTAGCTGGCAGAAGTTGCTTAATTGAACTGCGTATCAACTTTTTGTGATATTTTTGCTTGCTGTTGTGCTGTGAGATTGTTGTAATGTGAAACATGTGGCTTGACTCAATCAAGGTTGGTAAACATAAACAGATGCCTTGAGAGCCAAGAACAGTCACTAAGTTTTGGCATGCCATAGAATAGCTCTGGACTGTTGACATTTTGTATTAAAAAACACTTATTTGTGACTAATGGTAATGGCTGTCACGTTGCGAGGTGGTGGTGGATCCAAAAAGCAGGTAGGAGGGAGGAGCAGGGTGTACTTGAAAGATTGTATTAAAACTCAGAGAAAACGAAATCCAAAACAAACAAAGTCCAAAGGATCAAACAAAACACATGACTGAAGATAAAACATAACACTGACCAAAACATGACTGAAACAAACATGACAGCAAACAAACATGACAGTAGCACAAAGAAACATTGACCCGACCATGATTGCTCGGGCTAGGAGTCCTTTTAAAGCCACTAATTACCTAATGACCAACAGGTGTGCAGCTGCAGGGAGAGCCCTACAGTGCCACCTGTTGGTCCCAAACCGAATCATGACAATGGCTTACATTTGTGTCTTCTTCTTCTTCCTCTCCTTTCGGCACGTCCCTTTTCAGGGGTCGCCACAGCGAGTCATTAATTCCCATCCGTCCCTGCAAACCGCCCTATCAACTCGCATGTCCGTCTTGGCAAAAGTTTTACGCCGGATGCCCTTCCTGACGCAACCCTCCCCATTTCTCCGGGCTTGGGACCGGCACCAGGGAACAGTGTACCCCCAGGGGAGGGCACTGCTCCCCAGCGGCTGGGTTAATGGCTTACATTTGTGTACCATATGTATTTTGTATACATCCTATATAGTATATATATGACCTGAAATAGTCCTGAATGAGCTCTATGTCCTTTTTGAAATGATATATAGCTTACAGTATATATATATAGCATAGCTAACCACTCCTCCACTGTATCAGTATACAGTAAATAATCCATCCGTCCATTTTTCTATATAGTGCTTGTCCTGAGCTGGAATAAGATCCAGTGCGCCCCGCGACCCTTGTTATCATTATTATTATTATTATTATTAGTAGTAGTAGTAGTAGTAGTAGTAGTAGTAGTTCATCACTGTTTATACATTACACATTACCAAGTGTAATAGTTAACACACAGAGCTTGCAATATTATCTCTCTGAGAGAGAGAGAGAGAGAGAGAGAGACAGAGAGAGAGAGAGAGAGAGAGAGAGAGAGCGCGTGTGTGTGTGTGTGTGTGTGTGTGTGTGTGTGTGTATTGGCTCTTATAAGAGATGCAGAGGAAAACTGTGGCCGGTGTGAGTGTCAGTGATTCATAATATACTAGTACGACATAGTATTTGGATCCAGATTCACAAAGGCAAAATATGAGGTGTGGACTTTTTAGACATAACCATGAATGAATTGGGTCAACAGTCAGGGGTTTTCATATTTGATGAAAGAAGTTTTATCAAAAGTCCAAAAGGATTTTAGTTGCTTTATTATTATATGATACGATTGTAAAGGAGCATTTCTCTCATGTAGACTATTAACTTGTTCAAGACTTTTCTGGTTATTGCATTGCATGGAGAGTTTAAACACAATTTTGCTTCCTTACAGGTTGGGTCGTACTTGGTGAGCCAACAGAAACATTTTATCCTATTCTTTTCTCATCGGAAATCAGCAAAAAATATTCTTGACTTTCTTTTCCATTTTGACAGGTGACAGAGAAGAAGTTCAGATGGTTTGTGCCGGGAAGGAATTTCGTTTGCCGGTCTACTCTACATCAAGAACTGTGACTTTTACTCAGAACTCTGCAGGACCGAGGCGCATTCTCCTCGAGAAGACCATTGTGAGGAAAATGTTGTGCTGTGACTTTTGTTTTGTGTTGTAACGTACACAGATAACAAACCTAAATTCTTTATTCAGGTAAATGACCCTCGTTTTGAGTGGACCAAAGATAAGATGCTGGTCCTGAAAAATGTGACCCATGCGGACCAGGGACTTTATTCAATCAAACTGTCTTCCGGATTCACCTATGAAACCGTTCGTCTGACAGTTTCAGGTTGGATACTTTTCTCTGTTTTGTTAAATCAACACTTTTCAGTCTTTGTTTTGCTTAATTTGTTTTACTTGGAAGTTCACTATACCCATACCTCCATGCTCACTTTCCAAACCATATTTCCTGTTCTTTTGATCAGATAGCAGTGCTCACAACTCCTCCAGGCACTCTCTAATATTTTACTGTATTATAACAGATAGTAATAAAATAATTAAATCAAATGTAAAGAATTAAACAGTTTTGTACATTATTATTAACTGTGATTGTCGGCCCCCTTCAATACAGAGCTGAATGAGGGATGGACACCACCCGAGGGGTGAGACGAGGAGTTGTTTTTTTAATATATATATATATATAATATACACACACACACACACACACACACAGCATATACAGTATTTTCTACAGAGGATAAAGTATATATGACTGTGAGTATTGACGTCAAAATGCAAAGTACCTTGGGCTCACATTGCGAACATCATGTGACCAAACCCAGAAAACAGGTGAGCCTTAATGTCAACAATGCCATCACGTCCAGTTGATGGCTAAAGGCAGTACTGTATAATGTCAAAATGACTGTTCCCTGAGATGGCTGAAAGCTGGTGAATTCATCTTCTCAGTTCTTATTCCACAATATTAATCAAAATAAGAGTGTGGATGCATAGAACATACAGGGTGACCGAAGGAATTTGGGATTATTTTAAAAGTAATTTTTAAAACTACTAAGTCCAACTCATTAAGATTGAACAGTTTAGGTGTTGAATATCATAAGTTTACTCTGGGACTAATTTCATAAGAGTTCACGATGCGCACTCCCTGTGAGAAGGCACACGTCAGGTCGGTAGTTAAGCTCTTGCCAAACACGCTGTAGCATGTCCATGATAATGTGATCCAGTGCTGAAGTGATTCCCTGCCTGAATTCAGCAATGCAAGCAGGAAGGGGGGGGTGGGGGGGGCATAGACCCCTTAAAAAAAAAACATTAAATATAAAATCTTGATCTGAGTCTCTACATTCTGTCCAAATTTGAGGTTATTTCATCATTTGCTGAAATGATTGGCTTCTGATCGTACTTTTCACACATTTATCCGGCCATAGAATGCATCAAGTCCTACTACAGAAACTACGGCGAGAACTTTGAGCACAACATCCCCGAGAACAGCTTCGTACTGGAGTTTGCTCCCCGAGGCGCTCCATCTGAGGCGATGCCAATAGTCCTGTGGAACCGGACTGACCCTGATACCAGCGTTGCGGGTCGGGGCAGGCTGCTGCGAGACAGGAAGGTGTGGGTGGCTGACAGAGTGACGCAAGCCGACCAAGGCAACTACACAGTGCGTGACGCTGAGGGGAAAGTGTTGTCTCGCAGCACTCTCACTGTCCGCGGTGAGAAACAACAAATGAATCATACCTTCATTGTTGAACAACACTAATGATCTTTTTTTTTTCCTCCCAATCCTGTATCACATCACCGCTCCTGGATGCAGGACACATTTTCAATGTGACCCGCTTCACCAAAGAGTCTCTGAACCTCCCTCTCTTCCTCCCCGTGCCACGTGCCTACCTCATCTTTACCCCCACCCGACACCTCGATGAATCCTCGTTGGGGCCTTTCGACTCCAAGCCCTCCCGCGGCCCCGTGCAGTTAATGCGGGAGGGCCACATCACTGACAATGACATGCGGTATAGAGGCCTGGTCTCCGTGGGCAGGAATGGCTCCGTCAACGAGGTGGTCATTGCGAGGCTGACCTCGAGGCACGATGGCGTCTATGAGATCAGAGACATTAATGGCAACCTGGTGTCATCCACCTTGTTGCAGGTGATTGGTGAGTAACACGCTTGACACACAATTTCCCCTTAGAGTTAGCGGTTGGAGTAACAAAGTAAAAATAGCCCAACTGAGGGGTGCCTGATACATCAATCGTGATTGACAGGTAGCCCGCGAACTGGTCCCAAGTCGATCGTGAGGGGTGATTGGTGTGTCTGTGTGCGTGTTATTAATATTATACATTTTTGTGTTTGTGCACACTCAGTCTCCTCTCAGTTTCACGTTCACAAAAAAAAAAAAAAAAAAAAAAGTATTTAAAAAATAAAATAAACAAGCAAGTCACCTTTAAACTACGTTGGCGCATAATCTGTATTACCGGAAGTTGTTAGCTGTCAGCAGTCTGTAATTACAGCTTGCGATCAGACCTGTTGCGATATATCTATTTTATTATTATTATTATTGTTATTATTATTATCATTCAAAGTTTGCTTCATGTACAATTCACCGATGGAACTGGCAAAGAATGGGAATTTTAAGCGTCAGAAAAAGCATTTAAAAACGGTAACGTGAGCTACGATAGTGATGTTGATGCAGTTAACACGCTGCAAAAGTGCGTCCCATGCCTCCGTGTCAGGTCTCCCACTAAGGTAGGCCGTGATTTCCTTTTCACAATCTCACAAACTCTTGTATCTACTTTATTTTTCTGTTTGGTTCATGTTAAGGGGCATTATTGCTGTTGCTCATCATGCCATGCGTGCGTGCGTGTGTGCATGCACATGCGCATGTGATAACGGGTCGATTGCGGCAGGTTGTTTGCTTGAAAAGTAGATGTTTGGTCAAAATAGGTTGGGCACCCCTGGTCTAATTCAATAAGGGTAATTGTCGGTTATCTGTGCTCAAATGAAGTTTTTTTATTTTCTGATAACTTTTAACTTTTACGTTTACTCCCTACATTTGAAAGCAGATACGTTGTCAAAATACTCTTGTCAATTTTGCCTGTGGTCTCCTCAACAGAGTCACCCAGTCATCAAAAGTTGCAGTATAATTAAACTCTTCGCCAGGTCTTATTATAAGCAGCCAAACATTTGCGTACAAACCACTGCAGTGATAAGTCTCTTAAAATGTGTTTCCTTCATTTTCTAGCATTTCTTCCATTGTGTATGTGTATGTGATTTTGGCAAGCCTCAGTCCAAGGTTATTAGTGTTAACGAAAACTAAGAGAATAACTAAAACTAAAAATGTAACAACATTTCTGTCATGGTCTGCTCTGTCAGCGTTTTTGAGATCCACCTTCCGCCCGGTCTTTCTTCAGCCCTTGTTAATTTTTGTGAATGACATAAAATGAAAATGAGTGCTTTTTAAGAATATTTTAAATGTATTTCTTTTGGTATTAATGTATGACTGTAACCAGAAAAGGTTGAACAGTTGTTTGGGAATTTATTGCACTATACATACTGCCTAGAGTAACCATTGGCTTCTGCTAACTGCCTCGTTCTCTAATTGCTGCAGAAAGGGGGAGCAGGTGGCGAGCTCTTCTCAAGTCCATCACTGTCCCTTCCGGCATGTTTGTGTCTCTGGCCGGTTTCATCCTGTTCATGAAGCGTTACCCCAACTGCAGCTTGTCGCAGCTCATCGCCTGCCTCAGGACGAACCGGACGCCACAAGCCCAGCCCCCAAGGGTCAACATCCAGGTGAGCAGGTCACTTGTAACAACAAAGATGCCTTGTTGCTTACAAAGAGCTGAGGTTTTTTCCAAGGTCAAGAGGAGCCTAATGTATTACATTTTGGTGGAATGCAAGGGTCTTTTTTCCCCTTGATTTCTCAATTTAAATAACGCATCTTAATGCCAAAATATGTAGACTGTTTGTCTTTTGCGTCGATGCAGATCCAAATTATGAGGCGGACACGGGCCATATCCACAGTAGTGTAGGGGTGTATTTGCAGCTACATGGCTGTTGTTTATGTTCCATTTAGAACTACAGCCAGCCAAGCCCTCAGCCAGCGGGATACTATAATCACGGCCAGCAGCAGGGGACACCGAGAAAATGGACGCCGAGAGCCAGTCCAATTCATACTGTAAGTGGCTCACACCTTGATTGACTGGACAACTATACATACACTTTGCCTTTATTTGTTGCCGTTTGTATTTCCAGGGTTACACTCCCGTTATGGAAAGAGCTCCACCTCAACTCACTCCTGTTCACGCGAGGGCTGAAAATTATGAAAGCCAAAGACGTGTGAGCTCCCCCTGTCACAATTCAACTGCAGAGGTAAGCCAGATTTTTGCATGTAGAAGTGATTAGTTTTTTCATTAAATCACTCATTTCCTTCTTTGCAGGTAACGTCAAATGAGGAAGAAAGGAGGATTTCCTTTCCAGTGCCTGGAGCATCAGATTGCCTGCAGTCCTCCGAAGGTTGTGTTCAGTTCCAGATCAAAAAGGTACCAGTTCAAGAAAGATGGAGCAGCACAAATGAGTGTTATGCCGCTCTGCCGCTGGATACAGATACGTCTGACACCTGCAGCGTTTATACTTCCGAAAAGCTGAACTTCTTATAGTGCATGGAGTGGTGGCAGAGAAGCATGTGGAGAAAGAGAAGAAAAACCTCACCTGTGCCTTTTGCAACAAAGTCTATATTGTGCTTCCAGTGGTTTGACATCCATATTGCATGCCATTATTGTCAGTGTAATGGTATTTTTGAAGCATGAGCTGAATATTATCCTTCCTGCTTTATACATTTATTCACTCTGACTCTGCCAGAGATTCGTAAGTCTCCGCTGTCCTCTGATGCTACCTACCTCCAGACCCTCAGGACCACCGTGATATGCACTGTATATATTTGCTGAATCTGAAAAGTGTTTGCGTGTGCGCTCAGTGAGCTCGCTACGTATCGAGGGCTAGAAATAGAAATTAGGCTGTGTTTGAAAAAGGGAACATTAACTCACCGTACTAACATAGAGAAGGAATTTATTCTTGTCATTAACCTATTCAAACTGCAATGAATTATCATGTTAAATGTCTGTGATGTAAGATCATAATTTTACCATAAGAACTCCTGGGGCACAGTGCAACCATGAAATGTTCTGTACAAATTTCCCACCAAATTTTGTAACAACCTGTGAACCTTGTCAAGAGCAAAATATTGATCACCAAATCCATCCGGGTAACGAAAACGACTGAACTTGTAATATTTTTGCAATATGAAAACGTGTATCATTCCTTTTAAAATAAATATATCTCTTATCAGATTCTGATTTGGTCCTTTTGTCCAGTACATTGGGACCTGTGTTTGCTTTTCATATGAATTACATACAAAAATGGATCACATTTAAGAATTTAAGGGACAACAAAAGTAACTGCAATGGAAATGCCATTTCAAAACATGTCTCGGTCAGTAAGGCCGAACCTGGCTATATAAAACTAACACGGCTTGCATTGGGCCGTTTGTGGGTATTCCAATTTTGCCCAGCATATGCATAAGAGAGAAAGAGAGAGAGGAAGTTACCGTAACATTAAAAATGGCCAAGACGGTTCGGGCTCTGTTCTAGGTGTTCATATCTTATCCAGTGGGTGGCAGCAATGCACCAAACGTGCCCATTCTGCCGGAAATGAAGAAGAAGTAGTTCCGGTGCTAGCGGCAATGAAAGGAGAGCGTGCTGTCTCCAACTTAAAAAAAATATTGTGAAGAGAACATCAACTGCACGAAACGCTTTGTGAAAACGAAACGAGTCTAATTCCATCATCAGAAGTAATTTTTAAGTCTTGACCGGGACGATGTCTTTGGTTTGTGCAAGTAAGTGACCTTAAATTGATACAAAGATTGGCGTTGCAAACTCGCTGTGCAACCGTGCTAACGCTGTTAGCTAAATCAGCTAACGTTAGCAGACAGGCAGTCCCGCCACTTACGTCGCAAAGCTCCCGACTTTTTCCTTCTGAATCAAAACACTAATAAAGTCTGAATGTCTTTCTTGTTCAGTCTCCAACGAGTTCCCAGAGCACCCGTGCGTTTCTCCGGTGTCTAACCAAGTGTTTGAGCGCCGGCTCATCGAGAAGTACATCGTCGAGAATGGAACAGACCCGATGAATGGGCAGCCACTGTCCGAGGAACAACTTGTCGATATTAAAGGTAACCATAGGCAGCAAGATATGCAGGATCGTCTTTTAAGATCATTTTCCCCTCACCGACCCTACCGGCTTCTTTCCGTTTAATGTCTATCGCAGCTTCTCTTTTTGTTTCGTGGCTTGCATTTTACTGCCATATCATGCACATTTTAGGCATCTGTTAAAATGAGTGGAAGTACTTAGTAAATATAATAAGTGCAAAGCCACGCTCTTACTTTTTAGCTCTTCCGTGTCTCCTATATGATTGCTGAACCTGGTGCGTTTGTGCAAGGTTATATTTTATACCTGTCTGCCAGTCTCCCATCCAGTGAGACCAAAGGTACCATCGGCTACAAGCATTCCTGCCATTCTAAAGTCCCTCCAAGATGAGTGGGTAAGTGTTTGTCAAGATTTCCCTTTATGACATGATAGACTACTTACAAATGGGTGGGGCATTCAGGTGAAATTTCAGGAAGAACCCGAAATACCCCATAGCATTAATGTATAAACCAAATTTGACCTTTTTACTGCACATATTCAACTTGTGCTCTTTTGAGGAACTGAATGGCAAAATTTACAGAAGATGTTTGATCCAAAGACAACCAACCAATAGATTTCCTGGATAAACTGAAATTGGTATTCAAACCGAAGTGGATGATATCCTTGGCAATTAGAAATGAAATCACCCCTTGCAAATGTTGCCGTTTAGGTGCTTATTCGAGAACAGCAAGTTGGGCAAAATGTATCGAAACATTAAAACGGTTGGCCATGCGTTCAAAAATTCAGAGGTCAAACAAAGATTTCTGTCAATGTTATACATTAAAGGTTCATTCTGAAATTTCCCCCAAAATCAAAATATCGTCAACTTTTGTTAGTGGTGTAGTTTGCTCTTCCATGCTTGTAAAAATAAATTAATAAATAAAATATCCGCGTTATGACTTGTCAAAATGGAATAACATTTTCGTCGAGTTTGAGAGGAAAAGGGATTACCTCATGAACACATTCTATGGTGTGATTTAATGTTCGTTTTATTAATTACACTGAGGGTTGGAATTCAAGTTATCTTGAGGTAAACACATTGTATTCTTTGTTGTCTTGTCTTCTAGGATGCTGTTATGCTTCACAGCTTCACCCTGAGGCAGCAGCTGCAGACGACTCGCCAAGAGCTCTCGCATGCCCTCTATCAACACGATGCCGCATGTCGAGTCATTGCTCGACTTACCAAAGAGGTTGCTGCAGCCAGAGAAGGTAGGTTGATAGCATGTTGTGTGACGACCTGTTGTTGTGTTCTCAATGAATGTTTGAGTTTGCACAATTTACCTATTTTCCTCTTCCACAGCTCTTGCCACACTCAAACCTCAGGCTGGATTGATTACACCTCAGGCAGCCCCTGCCTCTCAGCCAGCCGCAGTGGTGAGTGATGAACAATTTATTTGGATTCATATGGGACTGATGATTTCTGTGATGGTATAGGAAATTGTTGTTCATTCTCCCTTTTGTCTGGCAGGGTCCTGCTGGAGTGCCAATGGAGATTAGTGAACAAGTGGGCATGACTCCAGAGATCATCCAGAAGGTAAAATCATCTTTTTACTTGATGGGTCACTTAGCTTTCGCAGATTTTAGACTGAAGTGTTTTCTTATTGTTGCAGCTTCAAGACAAAGCAACAATTCTCACCACAGAGAGAAAGAAGGTATGTGGCAAATGTGTTTCATCCCCCGCTTTCTTTACTCTTGGATTATTAAATTTTATTGAGATTATTTTTTTTAATCTCTTGTCTTCTTGTTTTTCTGTCAATTTACCAATTGTCTTTTGTCCAGAGAGGAAAAACTGTTCCAGAGGAGCTGGTTAGAGCTGAAGATCTTGGCAAGTACCGCCAAGTGGCCTCTCATGCTGTAAGTGTTTATTGGTGAAAGTCATTCATTTGGAGTCCACTGTCACTCAAGGCTGCGATGAATAATTGAGGAACGTAAATAATTGGATTACCAAAAAGATCGATGCAAAGTTTTCCCATGCTGACTAATCTAACTGAAGTCACACGCACCACCAGAAGAAAAAGTTCATAAAAACATTTTCCAAAGTTTGTGGTCGTTTAACACAATCTGAGAAAGATTAAATCCAATTATAACACAAACAGCACCTCTGTGATCAGCAACATAATGTAACATATCGATGTTAGCTAATTCAACTTAGCCTACCATTGCTAGTTAGGATGTGTTTTAATGCCCCCGTAAGTGGTCAAGGACAGCCACAGGTGCACTTTAAAATGGTGAACAAAGAGTGAGAAAACAAACGTAAAAGTACATATGTACATGAGCTGCCGATGGCCACAACTCATGATGGATTACTCAACGTGCAGAGGTAAAAGCCAGTTTGCTCTTCACTCTCATGTGCTGACACCCACATCACTCACCAGGCCATGCACTTCCTTTTTTAAGCCATGCTCACAGATACTACAGCAGAATGTAAACATGGCAATCCGCGATGGACAAAAATAACATCTGCACTTTGCATGCACATATTATTTTGGTTAATAATGCAAAATCCGCACACACACACACACACACACACACACACACACACACACACACACACATCACTGCAGCCCTTGTGTTGACACGCATGTTCGTTCTGCTTGCAGGGTCTTCACAGTGCCAGCGTGCCAGGCATTCTTGCTCTGGATCTGTGTCCCTCAGACACCAGTAAAGTGCTGACTGGTAGGCCTGCTTGGAAATTGGTTTGACCCCGTTAGTCATCAGGAGACTTTGGTCTGATTCAGCTGTGCTCCATTCTTCTAGGTGGCGCTGATAAAAATGTGGTTGTGTTTGACAAGAACGAGGAACAAATTGTGGCTACACTGAAGGGTCACACCAAGAAGGTCACCTCAGTCATCTACCATCCATCCCAGGTCAGTGACTTATTCAGGTCTTTTTTCTACATGATTATTACTATCCTGCAATAACTCTAGTTCTCCTTTCCTCCTCCAGTCTGTGGTTTTCTCTGCATCTCCTGACACCACCATCCGCGTGTGGTCCGTCACCGGGGGCAACTGTGTCCAGGTGGTGCGTGCTCACGAGGCAGGTGTCACTGGATTGTCCCTGCACGCCACTGGGGACTACCTGCTCAGCTCTTCTGAAGATCAGGTATGTGTGCTGCTTCAGTAACAAAAAACAAACAAACAAAAAACGTAAGATATGTTTCCCCTATGTGGTTTGGGTCAGGAAATCTGTTTTAACCATGGGCTTTGAAGGTTTGGGATGATAATGCCGTCTCTCTTATGGATAACATGATCTCATAGCAGCACAGCTTTGTGAAAATGATCAGTGATGTACTCTATCTCGCTTTGGCTTGATTGTCTCGTTGTTGTTTTGCAGTACTGGGCCTTCTCTGACATACAGACTGGCCAAGTCCTCACAAAGGTCACAGATGAAAGTGCCAGCTGTGGTAAGTGCCAGTGTGTGTTGGGGATTCTTAATATAGGAGCTCTTCTCCAGGTGCTAACGTTTCCACCCCCCCCCCCCCCCCCCCCCCCCCCCCACACACACACACACACAGCCCTCACCTGTGCTCAGTTCCACCCCGACGGTCTCATCTTTGGAACTGGAACTGCTGACTCCCAGATCAAGATTTGGGACCTGAAGGAGCGCACCAACGTGGCCAACTTCCCAGGTCACTCAGGCCCCGTCACCTCCATTGCCTTCTCTGAGAACGGATACTATTTGGCTACAGGTGAATTTTTTTTTTTTTTTATGTAAATATTCATTCTTTCTTTGTAAAAAAAAAAAAAAAAAAACACATGCCATTGTCATTTATACTGCTGATTTTATGATAAAGTGACCAGAATTTGTGCTTTGTATTAGCACATTTTTAATTACATTTACTGCCGATGTTGTGCTCTAGGGGCACAGGATAGTTCTCTGAAACTCTGGGATCTGAGGAAACTGAAGAACTTCAAGACAATCACACTGGACAATAACTATGAGGTACTTAAAAAAAAGACTGCAGTTATTAGCTTTTATTCTTCATATTGCACCCAAGCATGTTCTCTAAGGAATTTTGGCCATGACAAAGGACGACTATCAGGTTAGCCGTCAAAGAGATGTTCAGTTTTGTTAAAAAGTAATGACAGACATGCCTTACACCGATTACTTTGTGTTGATGGCAACATCAGTCAACCATTCCAACCGGTTTGCAGTGTTTTCATTTCCGTACCTTGCTCTTGCAGGTGAAGTCCCTCGTGTTTGACCAGAGTGGTACCTACCTGGCTGTAGGAGGATCCGACATCCGTGTCTACATCTGCAAGCAGTGGTCTGAGGTCCTCAATTTCACAGGTGAGGGCCCACTTGCCATTGTATTGTCAAATGTACGTTCATTGTGTTACATTGATCGCCGTTGTTGACATTGATTCATTCATTTTTGTGCATTTGTAGATCACACAGGTTTGGTGAGTGGGGTGGCCTTCGGAGAGAACGCTCGTTTCCTGAGCTCTGCAGGAATGGACCGAAGTTTGAAATTTTACAGTTTGTAGAAAAACATAAATTGATAATGACATGAGGGAAACGACGGAGGCAGACCAGAGACTGTGGATACCTACTTGGCATAGACGTATAATTCGTAGTTTAAAAAAAATCACTGCTAACTCTGCTTCTTTAGTATGTTTTAGTCCTCATGTGCATGAAACAGAAATTGATAAAATATCAATTTGAAAGATCAGCAGCATAATTTCAATCTTTTTTTTTTTTGTTGTTGTTTTTTTGCAGTGTCAGGTAAAATGTGAAATCAGATGCTGCGTCATGTCCTGTTTTATTTTTTTTTTTATAGCATCCCTGATTTAAACCCTTTCATTTTGTGAGTTTGTGTGTACCATTTGTGGGGCATTGGTGAGGTCATGAGTAAAATTCCGTCTCTTAACATTGACCGGTTTAAATGATTTAAAAGTGCATCTGTGGTAACACAACAGCCTAGAAGAAAGGTGGTGTATGAACATTTTGCACTTCCTTCCTTTGATTTCCCACTTTCCATTGGGAATTATGTTTCCTTTTGTTGATTGCTGTCTCATCAAATGTGTATGTCTCACAATGTGCTCTTTTACAGTAAAATATCTTTTGTATGCCATTTACCAGATTACAAGTTTCATGAAACGGTCACTTGATGTAAATCTAACAGCCTCTACCTAATTGTTTTAAAAAACGAAAAAATACTATACAACTTGTCAGTGCGTTCTCATTTTTCTAGTTTAAAATATTCCAGGCATTGTTCTGAGGTATTACAAATCTGCCGAATGCTCCCATCTTACCTTTGTTAGGTTGGATTTTTTTTTTAAATTGTTGTTGAATTAAGGTCTAAATTGTAAAAGCTTGCTTTATATAGCCTGGTTGCGCAACAGGGACTGTGTTGTAGTCATATAATTGAGGTTGGAAACTATATGCTTCAATTAAAAGCAAATTGAGGGTGTCACAAAGAAAACCTCCTGACTCGTGGCATGCAAACTGTTGTATGGAAAACCGTTCGAGTGTTTATTGGATATCCAACTTAATCTCTATGTTCAAGTATGCTTTTGTCATCACTAGAAAGACACTTACATACATGGCAATTTTCCGCGGATCCGCGGAAATCCGCCGTTTTATTTCTTAAATTGATCATTTTTGTGAATCGTCTAAATCCGTTGAGAAAATTTTAGGGGCGGTCAGGTACCTTATCGTCGAGTTTTCACGAGCTGTCCGGAACAGTCTCTCCGTTTTCCGTTTGTAAACAGCCCTGCGATTGGACGTGTATGAAAGCTTCAACTAATCAGATCACTGAAGGCATTATTTGTTGCGGAAGTCTTAGCTCGATTATAAACGGCCCAGCGATTGGTTAACGACAAGCGATTGGACCAATCAAATTGCATGTAACATATTGTTTTACCTGATTCATGGCGGCCTGTTCGTCTCGCAAATTCATTGTTCTGGGATCGTTTTGAGCGGAATTATGAAATTTTTGACGAAAGATCAGGAGTCTTTAATCCTAGAAATTGACTCAAATGTCAAGAATAAATTCCGATTGGACTGGCTTGACAGAAAAGTCACTGTAAAGGTTAAAATTGGTTCCAAGTTCGACGAAGTTACAGAAGCTCTTGGACAATAAGCTTTGACGTAGCAGGCAAAGCTTATTGTGTGTATTGTAGTGACTTAATTAACGATGGCTCCCGTGCATGCGTGGCACTGACAGATCATGCAACAAAAGTGAAAAAACATGCCGACAAAATCGCCATTCGACGGAGCAATTATTCTTTGGGATCGGCATTTTTCAAACAAACTTCGTCAGCGGATACAACTAAAGACGTTACGCGCTGGGGTACTTTGGCTGAA